TAAAGTGGTATCAAACTGCATTATTTCAGCAGTGCAGATGCAGCCTCAGATATTACTTTAAAATTTTGCAAAATCAACATATTATGAACCAAACTGTTTTAAATAGCTTCAGAATAATGAATTGGTCAATACTTTCAATTATGAAATTTCTGCAATGTTTTGCTATAAAAGGGAAACAGAGGCCTGGTGGCAGATTCAGCCCTTATGGAAGAAAACTGCTGCTGTCCTGCTTTTTTTTTAATGTTGGTGAATAACTGTCACAGAAATCAAATAAACCTTTTAGTATCATGGCCAATAAGAAATTTGAATTGAGCCAAATGGTAACTGTTTTTTTGCAAAAACTTTCAGCAATGCAAAAATACTCCTTCCAATTTATTATTAGAAGCATATTTAATCCATCCATTTCCACTAGTAGTGCTGTTGTTGTTTGCCTTCAAGTCATTTCAACTTATGGTGACCTTAATACAAACCTATCATGGGGTTTTCTTGGCAAGAATTATTCAGAGAAGGGTTTCCTTTACCTTCCTCTGGGGATGAAAGAGCGTTACATGCCTACGGTCACCCGGGGGGGTTCCATAGTTGAGAGAGTGTGACTTGCTCAAGGTCACCAACTCGATTTCCGTGGCTGAGCAGGGATTCCAACCCTAGTCTTGAGTCACCATACCATGCTGGCTTCCTAAGCACCATTCCAATGATCTAGAAGGAAGTGTCTAACAAAAACAAATACAACCATTTAGATGTTTTTTCATTCCAGCTTCTTACTATCAAATTATCCAGTTATTCATTACACTTACTCTTCCAAATAACTACGTCAAACACACTAGCCAAGGTTATTACTTCTAAACTAGAATTGAAGGGGAAATCCCCATAATCTGCCCATTCTGCATAATCAAGGTGCAGCAGTTTTTCAATAATAATAATAATCAGGGACTGCTCCAACATGGGTTAAAAATGTCCATTTCAAGTGAGAGCAATGCAGACCTAGAAAATAACTCCTTAACTCTCAACTGGATTTATGATGTCAGTTAGCTGGCTACGTAGCACTATGATATCATCCACTACACTACATCATGCAGTCTGAGTTAATTTTGTGGGTTGGGATATGCAAATGTGGCATAGTGGTTTGAGCGCTGGGTTATGACTCTGGAGGCCAGGGTTTGATTCCCTGCTCAGCCATAAAACTCACTGGGTATCCTTGTGCGATTTACATGCTCTCAGCCTCAGGGGAAGGCAATAGCCAACTTCCTCTGAACAAATCTTGCCAAAAAATCTTGCCATGATAGGCTCACCTTAGGGTCACCATAAGTTGGAATCAACTTGAAGGGATACAACACACACACATTAACCCACCACTACCTAAATTGTTTCATCTCTTCACACCACACAATCAGGTAGCTTTTCCTCAAATATTTGACTAATGGGATATTGGTAAGAAAGAGTGTGCCTTCTGAAGTCTAAAGAAACAAGGAATCATAAAGGCAAGGAAACCAGCTCTAGAGTCCTGAGCAATGATGTAGTGAAGGGGCATCTACTAATTAACTGTATAAATAAGCTCTATAATAGCCAATATCTTGCACCATATTGGTTTAGGAGGGAAAGACCATGAAGTTCTGAGTGAGCAGATTTATTGTCAGTGCTTCATTTGTAAAAGGAGCTTATATACTCCAAAATAATAAATAGTGAAGAAGAATGAAAAATGTTCTCTTTGGTTTTATGGGTCAAAAGTGTTCATGATCAGTAATACTGCTGATCAGAAATCATGCCGTGTATAATTGCAACAATAAACTTTCTCTTCTTTTAAAAAAACCCCAAACCATTGTGATTATGAAAATAATTGGCTTGCATGCTAAGTGGAATATTAATGCATCTTTTTCCTTACATTCTTTCAATCAGGAAGAAAGGCATCCTGCAGCTACACAAATGAGCTGTAAATGGAAAACATACCCCTGCATGTTTTCTGGATTGTGGGATACCACATAATGCTGCAATAGGGGAACCCTAAAGAATGAACCAGTGGACTGGAACCTTCAAGCAAAATAAAACAATTTTTTCTTCTTAAATTTGGACTGCATCAGATTTAGCTCTACACCTACCAAATTATTCCTGATGCAAAAACATGTTCTTGAGAAATCCATTGTTCTCTGCCTACAAAGAGGCCTGTGGCCTCACAGGAATGGAGACAGATTGGATTGCAAGAGAGGAGTCCTTGTTGAGATGCAAATGGACTTTAAATTTCCTGGACTTTGAAAATCTCCCAATTGCCACATGTCCAGAAGGAGGAGGAACCAGCCTGCAAGAGATGCCCTTCTCATACCATCTTAACTAAGGACAGTAACAACAAAATGCAGGCATCTTACTAACATCTCAATTTTTTCTCCTATTTGGATCTTGCCTGATTAAGAAGCCAGTGGAACTTTGAAAGCTTACAACAAAGATATTGTGCATTTCGATTGGCCAATAAATGTATAACTGTTTGGTGGATTTTTGTTTGAATTTGCTAAATAGTCAACACAGCTACGTTCTGTAAACAGAGTGACATTGCCAGATTTCTCTCTAAAGGCTCTGTACCTTGTGCAGAATTTAGCAGAGGTGAGCAAGTTCCAAAATAGTTCCTCATGCTAGCTGAATAGCATTGTTAAAAAGTGTCATCCCCCCAAAAAGAGAGAGAGAGCGATTCAGATAGAATTAACAAGGGAAAGCAGGAGAGAAAAATTGCTTGCTCAGTTTGAGAGTAACTAATTTTCAGATTATACATGCCCACTCTTACCCTTACTATTCCCTCTCACTCCTATCCACATGGTTTAGTTTCATTACCTGACTTGCAACAGCCAGCCTCAACTAAAGCAGGCAAGGAGGTTTTATATATCTATATAGATATCTACACATATTACAGAAATTGACAAATGTCCCTTTCAGGAGATTATTGGACAGTTTAGATACATGTATTTAACAGCCCATTCACATTTTTCACTTGGTTTCTACCCCTTATTTGTTTCCAAGGACCAGGGATAGGCAACCTTTCCCCTTTAAGGGCCGAGGGACTTCAGCTCCCAGAAGCCTCAGCCATGTTGGCCAATAGTCCCATGTTGGCCAATAGCTCCTGGGATTCTGGGAGCTGAAGTCCCTCAGCCCTTAAAGGGGAAAGGTTGCCTACCCCTGAGGTAGATTATGGAGATCGTTGCACATCTAAAAATAGCGATTTACCCCTCCCAAATTCAATCCTAATTTGGGCTGGATCCAGGCCCTATCACACATCTTTTCTCCCAAAATGTGCCATCCAAGTACAACCCAGCTGCAGTGTGGGTCCCTTAACTCACTTCAGTGGCCATTTTTTAAAGTCAGGGCTTTCCGAATTTAGAAAAATGGCCACCGAAGCAAGTTAAGGGTCCTGTACTGCAGCCAGGCTGTACTCAGATGGCACTTTTTGGGAGAAAAGATGTGCAATAGGACCCAGATAAGCCTAAATTAGGATTGAATTCAGGAGGGGTAACTCACTATTTTTAGATGTGCAACAATCTCCATAATCATGGATACATCTCCATAATCATGGATACATAGTCCTTGGAAACAAATAAGGGGTAGAAACCAAGTGACAAATGTGAATGGACTGTTAAATACATATATCTAAACTATGCTGCAGAGAAAGGGAAAGTGAGTAAATGCAGCTATAGAATTGTTTGAAATAGACATGGGAAGGTTGGGAGAAAAATGCCAATGCACAGTGGAAGCTCCAGCCATGGCAAATATATGGAATGACAAACCGCACTGGGAAAAGTGCTAGAGCAGACAGATCTGGTGACTCCTTTACTCAAATGTGATGCTTACTTGGTGCCCTTGGGCCAGTTACTGTATCTCAGCCTAAACTACCTCATAGGGTTATTATAAGAATAAAAAGTGGGGAATTCTGAGGATAAAATGTTGCACATATGATGTGTCCTGGGCTCTCTGGAGAGGGATAAATATACAATACTGTAATATGAATCAATTCCAGTACCTTGGACAAAGAATTAATGCTTTTGCAGACAGTGAGTGTAGCTTTTATTTTTAATTCAATGATTAATTTTTGTCCAGTAACATTCTGCAGCATTGTTACTGTTGTTGGTATATTTTTTATATCCCACCTTGTTCCCAGTTTGGGGCTTAAAGCAGCTTACAAGAGTTAAAACAAACATGGTTAAAAAATTCACAGCATACAAAAGTTAAAAAGCAATTAAACTATCAAAAATGTATAACCAGTTGAAAATGTGACCCACTAAAAACAACAACAAAATTAAAAACTATAGGCATAATAAATAAATAAATAAATAAATAACAAATTCTCAAAGGCCTGCCAGAATAAAAAAGTCTTCAACTGCTTGCAGAAAGATAGTAAGGAGGGTGCTAGTCTTAGCATCTCTCCACCCATTCACACCACAAAGAGATTCCCAGAGCATGGAAACAGCCACAAAGAGGTCTTTTCTGTATTGCACCAAATACACCAGTGAGTGGAGGGAAAGAGAGAAGGGCTTCCCTTGAAGATCTGAAAACATGGACCAGTTCTTATGGGAGAATATGGTCCTTCAAATAACCTGGGTCTGAGCCAGTGGATATAGTGGGGAGCAGCTTTGACGGATGTGATAACAGAAGTTGTTTTTCTTGCTACAGTAAGCAGCAGCAAATATTTATATATGTACAGCTGGAAGTGCAGTGTATTGGACTAGGATTCTGGAGAAGAGGGTTTGATTCCCAGCTCAGCCATAGAAACCCAGTGGGTAACCTTGGGCAAGTCATATTCTCTCTGCCTCAGAGCAAAAGCAAACCTACCCTGAATAAACATGCCAACAAAACTCTATCATGGGGTCACCTTAGGGTCGCCATAAGTCGGAAATGACTTGAAAGTACACAACAACAGCTGGAACATCTATGCACTTCTTATATGTTCTATGAGGCCTATCTTAAAAGGGGAGACAGTGGTCACTGTTAAGATTTTCCTATTGCTACCTGTTGTAACTTCCAAAGAGATCGATGTCTTACTTGCAGTTTCATCCTACAAAATATCTATCACCTCTACTTCCTTCTTGAAGTTGACATACATACACACACACACCTGCTATAAGCTTCTGATTCCTTCCTTCCAAAACAACCACAGCTAGTGCTTAAACTAATCGTTTATATTTTGCCGCTTCCTTCACATGTTCTTTAGTAATCCACCCATTCACACCACAAAGATTTTTATTATTCCATCATGCCTCTCGTGATCCTCTCCAGTAATCACTCTGTTTCCTCAAAGTATTTTTATCATCCCATTCAGTTCCCCTTGGCCATTCTATCATCTCCCAACAAAACTGAGCAGTTTATGACCTTCTCTCTGTCTCCCTCTTCTCTCCTAATCTGGAAAATGGTGAATCAGCCTGCTGCATTTCATTCATTCCCCAAATACACTGGAATTTATTCTTTGCTCCAGCAGAAACGTATCCTAGAGCCTTCTCTTCAATACTCTGATGTCAGCTGGCATGACCCTTGTTCTGTGACCTTCTCTTCCTCCTTCCAACTCTATCTAATTCAGCCGGAGGTTTCTCTGCATGGCCTTAGAGATGAACACCCAGCAGCTCTGCTTTCAATTCCACTGTGTCCCATTACATCCAGCTTGTATTCCATGATCCCTCCTTAGTCATTCACCCCACTTAACTGGACTGCCAGTGACTTTCGTTCTTTTAAGCAGTTCATCTTGCTGCTATTCACCTTCTTCCACAGCTGATTCTGGATGACTGCATTCTCTCTGCATAGATAATGTAGTATTCTTGCTTTTCTCCCCAAGATTGTACTCTGAAGTCACCTCACAATGCTCTGCCTCCATGACTGAAAGAGCCTTTCTTCATCCCCCCCCCCCTTGGTTCCATTGCTATTCCACTGTGAGGACTGGGATGTCTTGGTCTGTCTTCTGCCCTAGTAAGGCTGATGTCATTCTCTTTGGGAAATATCTTTTGTGTGTGTGTGTGTGTGTGTGTGTGTGTGTGTGTGTGTGTAGGGTGAGAGACTGCTAGAGTTGTACTCTCGACACTCTCGTTTTTCTTATTTTTGTATGCTATTCAGGTTTTAGTATTCTGCAAATCACCTTGAGTTCAAATATTGAGGAAAAGGCAGGATACAAATCAATAAAATAACAAGAATATTTTTACTGTCCCTTTACTCTCCAT